TCTCAGAAGATTTACATGAACACAAATTAATGAAGTTAATGAATTTCTTAATATTTTCAAGTTTTTCTTAAATTTGTCAACAAGATTTTTTTAAATTTACCAAAATTTTCATGAATCTGTTAAGATTTTCATGAATCTACTAAGATTTTCAGGAATCTTAAGGTTTCAGGAATGATAAGGTTTTTCCTAATATTTTAAAACAATTCTTAATTTTTTCTTTTAAATTTTCAAGTTTTTCTTAAATTTGTCAACAATATTTTTTTAAATACACCAAAATTTTCATGAATCTGTTAAGATTTTGAAGAATCTGCTAAGAATTTCAAGAATCTGCGAAGATTTTTATGAATCTACTAAGATTTTCAGGAATCTACTAAGATTTTCAGGAATCTTAAAGTTTCAAGAATGATAAGGTATTTCTTAATATTTAAAAAAAAATTCTTAAATTTTCAAGTTTTTCTTAAATTTTCAAGTTTTTCTTAAATTTGTCAACAAGATTTTTTTAAATATAACAAAATTTTCATGAATCTGCTAAGATTTTCATGAATCTACTAAGATTTTCAGGAATCTTAAGGTTTCAGGAATGATAAGGTTTTTCTTAATATTTTAAAGGTTTTCTTAAATTTTTCTTTTGAATCGTCAAGTTTTTCTTAAATTTGTCAACAAGATTTTTTTAAATATACCAAAATTTTCATGAATCTATTAAGATTTTTAAAAATCTGCTAAGAATTTCAAGAATCTGCTAAGAATTTTAAGAATCTACTAAGATTTTCAGGAATCTTAAGGTTTCAAGAAAGATAAGGTTTTTCTTAATATTTTAAAAAATTTCTTAAATTTTTATTTTAAATTTTTATTTTAAATTTTCAAATTTTACTCATTTTTTTAAATATAACAGAAATTTCATGAATCTGTTAAGATTTTGAAGAATCTGCTAAGAATTTCAAGAATCTACTAAGATTTTGAGGAATCTTAAGGTTTCAGGAATGATAAGGTATTTCTTAATATTTTAAAGGTTTTCTTAAATTTTTCTTTTGAATCGTCAAGTTTTTCTTAAATTTGTCAACAAGATTTTTTTTAAATATAACAAAATTTTCATAATTCTGTCAAGATTTTGAAGAATCTGTTAAGAACATCAAGAAACTGCTAAGATTTTTATGAATTTCGTAAGATTTTCATGAATCTTACTAAGATTTTCATAGATCTTGCTAAGATTTTCATGAATTTTACTAAGATTTTCATAAATCTTGCTAAGATTTTCTTGCATTTTTCTAAAACTTAATCACTTTCACTAAAACTAAAAAAACTCTGAAATACTAAGAAATTAAATAATCTGCTATATTATTATTATTAATATTAAATATTATTGATATTAATCTAACAATATCTTAAAGATTATGACAAAGTTTTCATAAATTTGTTAAAATATTAATTAAACACTATAAATTTCTTAAGATGTTAAAAAAATCATGAATCAACCAACGTTTTCAAGAATTTTTTATAGATAAACTGTTTAAACATGCTAAAAAATTAAATATTCTCCTAAAAAAATCATGAAATTACTGTAAAACCATTGATCTATAAAAAAATTAATAGTCTGTTAGAAAGTTAATTAATCTAATAAGATTTTCAAGATTCCATCAAAGTTTTTATGAATTTGCTAAAAAAATCGTTGATTACTATGAGATTCATTTATATAGTAAAAGATTCATTAATATACCAAGATTTTCAAAAATCTGCTAAAAAATTCTGTAATCTTTTAAAAAAAATAATTAATCTGATAAAAAAATCATATAACTTTTAAATAAATCTAATAATCCGCTAAAAAAATAATTAACTTGCTAGAAAATTCATTAAGATGTTAAAAAAAGTCATTTTCTGCCAAGATTTTTGAAGATCTACCAAGATTTCAGAAAATCTGTTAAGATTTCTAAAAATCTGTTAAGATTTCTAAAAATCTGCTAAGATTTTAACGAATCTCATAAGACTTTCATGAATCTCATAAGATTTTCATGAATCTTACTAAGATTTTCATGGTTCTTGCTAAGACTTTCATGCATTTTGCTAAAACTTAATTTATCAACTAAAAAACACTAATATACTAAAAAATCTGCTAGAAAAATTTCATAAACTTCTAAAAAATTAATATTGTGCTAAAAAAATTCATTAAATTGTTGAAAAACTCAATAATCCGCTAAAAAATTAATTAAAATACTAGAAAATTCATTTAAATGCTAAAAAATTCATTTTCTGTCAAGATTTTTAAGGATCTACCAAGCTTTCCAAGAATCTGTTAAGAATCTTATAAGATTTCCATGAATCTTATAAGATTTTCATGAATCTTACTAAGATTTTAATAGATCTTGCTAAGATTTTCATGAATTTTGCTAAAACTTATTTAATAATCTGTTAAGAATTCTAAGAATCTGCTAAGATTTTAACGAAGCTTATAAGATTTTCATGAACCTCATAAGATTTTTATGAATCTTATTAAGATTTTCATGGATCTTACTAAGATTTTCATGAATGTTGCTAAAACATATTTATTCAACTAAAAACACCAATATACTACAAAATCTGCTAAAAAAAATTCAATAAACTTCTATCTAAGATTCCTAAGAATCTGCCAAGATTGTTATTAATTTGCTAATATTAAATTATTTATAATCACTTACTTGTATTAGTTGGCAAAAGACGTTAATACTGGCTAGAATTTTATAAATCTTTTTAGAACCCTTAATTTCTGATCTCGACAAAGCCAGAATTTGTGTTGAAAACTCTGCATCATCATTGAACACTTTGGAAAAGGATCCTGAAAGAAAAAAATAAATAACTAGTGGTGTATGGCATCGTGCCTGAAGGCAAACTGCTGGAACTTCCCGTACCGTAATGAAATATTCGAGAAATTTTAAACCTCTTCAAATATATCATTACAAATACTGTAACTTTCATTATTTTCGCTATCTTGTTATATCTGAGCAAATCAAATGTAAATCATACAACAATTTATCTCCAGAACATTAACAATCGTCATTTCATTTCGAATTCAATTTCAAAAAAAAAAAAAATAGTTGCCTAATTTGCACCAAATTAAAAAAGTGCTCCTGTATAGTCACAGTCTAAACGCATTTGCAAATAATTCTGTGCGATATTTTCACTTATACTGTACTTAGCTTGGCGGCATTTTCACATTTTTCAATAGTTTTCTTATTTTAAAAATTAGTTAAATTTAAGAATTTTGTGAAAACCATTGAAAAATGTGAAAATGCCGCCAAGCTAAGCACAGTACAAGTGAAAATGTCGCACAGAATTATTTGCAAATGCGTTTAGACTGTGACTATACGGGAGCACTTTTTCACTTTATTCAATTTTGTGCAAATTAGGCAACTATTTTTTTTTAACTATTGAAACTAATAAAAACTAATAACGAAATTTAATAAACTTTAAAACCTAAATCTTATTTTTAACTATGTCACAAAATTGTAAAAGTGCTCCAGTACGTAAACAGTCTAAACGCACTTGGGTAAACATTTGTACCAGAGTGGGCGCTTAGACTGTGCTTAGACTGGGTAATTTTTTGAATTTTTAATCAAAAATTACAAAAATATTTTATGGAAAATAAAAAAAGATGTAATATTTTTTTATCCTCAAAAGCAATTGTTTTTTTTTATTTACCAGAACTGAGGAGTAGATCCAAGAAAACAAGCATAGCACAAGACACTCGTTCAACATTTTGATTTTGTGCAAAAACTCTCACAATAACTTTTCCTAATCGAGACAATTCCTCTGGTTTATCCGTTTGAGACTTCAAAAATGCAAACAGGGCTGCACTGGAATGCTTCATCTAATAACAAACAATAATAGTATAAGTAACAACCAAATAATAATTTATATATATATATAAATATTTTAATAATTTTTATGAGTATTTTATATATTACCAATGTTTCGGTCAAATCTCCAATACTGGTGATGATTCCAAGCATAACTGATTCACTGTATTCGGACAGTGCTAGAAGTTCGCAAAATTTGGGGAATGTATGTTGTCCAAAAAGCCACAGGATTTGGTCAGTGCAATCGGCAGTGAAAATTGTGCCCACTCTTTCATAATCGGGAACATATGGACAACTAAAATGATAATGATAATATACATATATCTTCTATATATATAAAAATAAGTCGGGTTTTCCTTCCTGACGAAATAACCCCAGAACGCACGAACCGATTTCGACAATTTTGCATTCGTTGGAAAAGTCCGCAAGGTTTATAGCTAAGAAAATTAGTGGTGCATGGCATCGTGCCCTAATGCAAGCTGCTGGAACTTCACGCACCGTAATTGCAAATTCGAGTAATCACATTAGTAAGAATTATCAGAATTATGCTTGGTTAAGTCAACGAGCAATTCTTGCCGCAAAGAATAATGATGTACACGCACTGAATTTCACCATTCAATCAAAAATTGCTGGCGATTTGGTGACATACCAATGATGCCGACTGGTCTTCCGTTTGACTTCAAACGATTGCAATTTCCAGTTCGCCTTGCGTTCGCAATAACAAGTCGCAAAGCCAATCGCTTAGTGTTTGTGGGATAAATTTCAAATAGATTATTTAGAAAATCATTGTTTTTACATGGGCAGTTATACGTTGCCTGTTCACGAGTTGGAAAACCATCCGCTTTGTTTGTGTTAACATCAGACCAAAAAACAAAAAATGTGGTTTACCAAAGAGCACTTCAATGAAACGGATAATTTGCGGATTCACTTTCATATACTTAGAGAAGTTCAACTAAAAAACACTTCATTTTTTGTAATCGAAATAAATTCATTACTGTTGTGTAATAAAATCAAATTTTTCCTTTTCAAATATAAAACAAACAAAAAAATTCTTCATCTTTCTCACGAAACCATCTGGTGGCGAAACGGAGTTCGTCGGGTTTGCTAGTATATATATATATATATATATATATATATATATATGTATATATATTAACTATTATTTTCACCCACTTGTGTACTAAATTAGCAAACAGTTTCCCAGCAAGTGCTCGAGTCCTCTCAATTTTCTCAACAGCCTGCTGCGACAAACCCAACATAACACTTTTAACCATTTCAGGAGTCAGATGAGGCGTTTCTTTCAGCAATAAGACTAAACTGTGTAGACCTGTGTAGACAAAAAAGTCAAAATTATTTTTATTTTATCATTTTGGTTTGTTATTTTAAAATGTTTTAACCTGCCATCGCTGCTTCCCGAACCCATGCGCCAATGTCACCACGAGTATGTATCGTGTATTCTCCTAATGATCGCATAAAACATTCGAAAACTGGTTCCACATAGTCACCCAAAGCTGGAATAAAATGATAAAAATTAGGTGTAAGTGGTATTTTGGTTTGCCTTAAGGCGAGTTACATAAGCTTTTCAATAGCCGAAGTATAAATATGGAATTGAAGTATAAGGGTTGTAATTTTTTTTTAAATATTTCTGTTTGTTGTAGAGTTTTGTTATTTTAGTATGTTATACTTTAATATGTCTATTATAAAGACAAATACTAAAATTGATAAGTTGTCTTGAAAAATTTTAGGATATTTATAATTATGCAAAAAAGTACATGGCAGTCTTAGACAAGCTCAAAAACTAAAGTATATATGTTGTAATTTTTTAAAAATACTTTCGTTTGTTCTAGAATATTGTAATTTAGGTATATTATACTTCAATATGTCTATTATAATAATAACTAATACTAAAATTGATGAGTCTTCTTGAAAATTTCAGAGATATTTACAATTTTATGGGTAAAGTACTTGTGCACGTATGTATTTCGATGCAATATGATAAAAGAGTAAAGTTTTAGATTTTTTTTTAAATATTTGGGTTTGTTGTAGAATGTTGTAATTTTAGTATGTTATACTTTAATATGTCTACTATAATAACAAATACTAAAATTGATAAGTTCTCATGAAAATTATAAAGATATTTACAACTTTATGGGTAAAGTGCTTGTGCCAGAATGTAATTTGATGTGTTTCCTGAAGTTTTAGAATTTTTTATAAATATTTGTGTTTGTTGTAGAACGTTGTAATTTTAGTATGTTATACTTCAATATGTCTATTATAATAACAAATACTAAAATCGATGAGTTGTCTTGAAAATTTTAAAGATATTTATAATTATATGAAAAAAGTACTCGAAAGCCCTAAACCAAAATACTCACAAATTAAAGTATGTATGTTGGTATTATTTAAAAATATTTTTGTTTCTGGTAGAATGTTATAATTTTAGTATGTTATACTTTAATATGTCTACTATTTTAACAAATACAAAAATTGATGAGTTCTCTGGAAAATTTTAAAGATATTTATAATTATATAAAAAAAGTACTCGAAAACCTTAGACAAAAATACTCAAAAACTAAAGATATGTTGTAAATTTTTAAAAATACTTTCGTTTGTTCAAGAATATTGTAATTTTAGTATAATATACTTTAATATGTCTACTATAATAACAAATACTAAAATTGATGAGTTGTCTTAAAAAACTTAAAGATATTTATAATTATACGAAAAAAGTACACGAAAGCCTTGAACCAAAATACTCATAAACTGAAGTAGATATGTAGTATTTTTTTTTAAATATTTTTGTTTCTTGTAAGGTGTTGTAATTTTAGTATATAATACTTCAATATGTCTACTATAATAAAAAATACTAATATTGATAAGTTGTCTTGAAAATTTTAAAGATATTTATAATTATATGAACAAAGTACAAGCAAGTCTTAGACTAAAATACTAACAATAAGAAAAATACTAAAGTAGATACTGTTGTAAATTTTTTAAAAATATTTTCGTTTGTTCTAGAATGTTGTAATTTTGGTATATTATACTTCAATATGTCTATTATAATGCAAATGCTAAAATTGATAAGTTTTCTTGAAAATTTTAAAAATATTTATAATTATTCAGAAAAAGTACATGAAACCCTTAGACAAAACTACTCATAAACTACATTGTAATTTTTTTTAAAATACTTTCGTTTGTTTTAGAATGTCAAAATTTTAGTATGTTATACTTCAATATATCTATTATAAGAACAAATACTAAAATTGATGAGTTTTGTTAAAAATTTCAAAGATATTTACAATTTTATGGGTAAAGTACATGTGTCATAATGTATTTCGATGCAAGACGTTGAAGGAGTGAAGTTTTAGATTTTTTTTTATAAATATTTATGTTTGTTGTAAAACGTTGTAATTTTCGTATGTTATACTTCAATATGTCTACTATAATAAAAAATACTAAAATTGATTAGTTTCCTTGAAGATTTTTAAGATATTTATAATGATATGAAAAAAGTACAAGAAAACCTTAGACAAAAATACTCATAAACTGAAGTAGATACGTTGTAAATTTTTTAAAAATACTTTCGTTTGTTTTAGAATTTTGAAAATTTAGTATGCTATGCTCCAATATGTCTACTATAAGAACAAATACTAAAATTGATGAGTCTTCTTAAAAATTTCAAAGATATTTACAGTTTTATGGGTAAAGTACTAGTGCATGTATGTATTTCGATGTTTATGATGAAGGAGTAAAGTTTTAGATTTTTTTAAAAAATATTTGTGCTTATTGCAGAATGTTGTAATTTTAGTATGTTATACTTCAATATGTCTATTATAGTATAAAATACTAAAATTGATAAGTTCTCATGAAAATTTTAAAGATATTTACAATTTTATGTGTGAAGTACAGAATGTATTTTGATATGTACGGTGAAGGAGTATAGTTTTAAATTTTTTTTTAAATATTTGTGTTTGTTGTAGAATATTGTAATTTTAGTATATTGTACTTCAATATGTCTATTATAATAACAAATACTAAAATTGAAAAGTTTTCTTGAAAAATTTTAGGATAATTTTAATTATACAAAAAAAGTACATGGCAGTCTTAGACAAGCTCATAAACTAAAGTAGATAAGTTGTAATTTTTTTAAAAATATTTTCGTTTGTTCTAGAGTGTTGTAATTTTAGTATATAATACTTCAATATGTATATTATAATAACAAATACTAAAATTTATGAGTTGTCTTTAAAATTTTTTAAAATATTCATAATTATTCAAAAAAAGTACACAAAAGCCTTGAACCAAAATACTCACAATCTAAAGTATATATATAGTTGTTTTTTAAAAATATTTTTGTTTCTTGTAGGATGTTGTAATTTTAGTATAATATACTTTAATATACCTATTATGATAACAAATACTAAAATTGATAAGTTTTCTTGAAAATTTTAAAGATATTTATAATTACACGAAAAAAGTACACGAAAGCCTTAGACCAGAAAACTCATAAACCAAAGTAGATACTGTTATAATTTTTTTAAAATACTTTTGTTTGTTCTAGAATGTTGAAATTTTAGTATATTTATCTCTAATATGTCTACTATAAGAACAAATACTAAAATTCATGAGTTCTCTTGAAAATTTCAAAGATATTTACAGTTTTATGAACAAACTACAGACTAATCCAATAACTAATTGAATTGAGAGAAATTTATTTCATCTTTTAAAAAATTACTTTATTTTGGCCTTAGATATAAATTTTATTAATTCAAATATTGTATAATGTATAAAATCTGTAAATAGATCCAAAATTTCAACAATAGCTGTAGAACAATTTACTTATTTCAAATTTTGTCTTAATAATTAATTTAATAATATATAATATATATATATATATATATATATATATAAATTACCTTCTGCTCCAACAGTTTCACAAACACTAATAATAGCCTTAACTGCTGCAGTTCTGCTTTCGGCCCACATAATTTGCGAATCGATTTTGGCACATCTTATAAGAGCAACTAGTATTGCATTCAGGTTACCAATCAAGCAAACTTTTGGAAAAGATCCTACAACAAAATAATAATAAACAAAATTAAAACACTATTGTGAGAATAAAAAATATCTATGTCCATTTACCTATTGCGAATGCATAGCCCATCCTAGAAGTCTCATTATCAGCTCTCAATTGATTTGTAAACCGGACAATCATCTGTTGCCTATGTTCCAAAATAGCTTCATCAGTTGTTGAACTGTAGTAGCATTTTAGCATTTCTGCCAAAGCCCCGCAGGCACGTTGTCTAATTGCTGGTACTTTGTGGTTCAAACAGTCTTCGATTTGTCTTAACCAATCATCTAGGAAATAAATGATAATAAGAAATGAATAGGATGTATTTGATAAAAAAACATTTTAAAGTCACATCGTAGTACAATATTTGATTTAATGAAAAATGCCTGAATCAGAAGAATATTTTATCCTGTTCCTTGAAAATAATAAAACAAATTAAACATTTGTGCCGTGTACTAAATGTAAGTTTATTGATTAGAAATTATTTTTATATTATTCGTAGATTTCTTTAAATCTTTGATGTTATTAAAATGAAAAATATTGTTAGGCAAGACAGATATTACAGCTATTCAAAGAATGAGATTATATCGCCGGCGAAAAAGTAAAAAAAAATACAAGCAGTCAATGAATGTATGTTAATTTTATTTACATGAAGTTCTTCGAACACAATTATTACATGATGAGTAAAGTTGCAAAAACAATATTTGTTTAGGCGTTGTTTAACATAATCCACTGTGTGAATAAATATTATAGAATTTATTAATCAGCAATTACTTCATTTCTCTAATAAAGGTTCACTTCTAAATGCGAATTACAATAACAAACCGATCATGTCATATTTGAAGTATGACTTTAATTACATTATTGTTTTTAAATATTATACATATTTTTAATGCTATCATAAATATATAATTTATAATTTATCATTATATAAATGTGTATAATGATTGACAGACACTAATAAATGTGTGCATTACGAGTGTTACCAAATATTACTAATAAACATTATTCAAAATTTTTAGGATGTATTTATTTTTTACTTAAATGCCATCTTGTACAGTAGCAAATAAGTTTTACTTCAATCGCGTGTGAACCTTACTCGCACTCTTTTTTTTTACCTGTGATCTCTCGGTTATATTTGACTTCAGCTTTAGATAGTTTTTCAATCAAGTCCGAGCAAGCAAGTTTCATCAGTTCACCTCCGAGGCCCTTGAATTGTTCTCGTCTTCTAACAGTGTCCACAACATTACCTTAAATAATAAAATTAGATAAATTTTAATTTCAGCACCTTTATATATATATATATATATATATATATATATATATATATATATTTCTCTAACATATTTCTGGGAACTCTATTTTTATAATGCACTTGTTTCTAACTTTATATTGAAGCCTCCATTTTTTTTCAATGCATTTTTCTCATAATTTTTGAGTTATTTGACAAAAACCAAAAAATGTATCGAATTTTCTATATTTATTGCTACTAAATAATCAAATATCAAATTCAAAGTCGTTTTATTCAAATCTTTTATAACGAAGTGTATAAAAGTGTTCCTTAGAAAATGTTGTAAATTTTATCTAGTTTCACCCTATCTAACTGAAAAAGAGTGGTTCCATATAAAATTTTTGAGTTATTTGACAAAAACCAAAAAATGTCCCGAATTTTCTAATTATTGTGCTAAATAATCAAATATCAAATTCAAAGTCGTTTTATTCAAAACTTTGATATCAGAGTGTATAAAAGAAGTGCTTTTAAAATTCTCCTTCAAGAAGTTAATAAAATCATTAAATATTTTTAGTATATTCTTACCTGCTTTTATAATAATATCCGATGCCACCAAATCCTCCAAAGCCTTTCCTTCTTGTGCAGCAATTATCGAAAACGCATAAATAACTTCACCGATAGCCAAAATAGCTCCATGCCTACTATTCACATTTATAGTTTCTGTTTTCCTAAAAAGCTCTGGCAATACTTTACTTGACATATACTCCGGCGTCTAAAAGTACAAAACTCCAAATCAAATATAACTTGTGGTGTATGGCATCGTGCCTTAAGGCAAATTGCCGGTACTTCCCGTACCGTAATGAAATATTCGAGAAATTTTAAATCAAGTGTAAGTCATAAATCAATTTATCTCCAGAACATTAACAATCGTCATTTCATTTCGAATTCAATTTAAAAAAAAAATAGTTAACTAATTTACACAAAATTGAAAAATATGCTCCCGTATGGTCACAGTCTAAACGCATTTGCAAATAATTCTGTGCGACATTTTCACTTATACTGTGCTTAGCTTGGCGGCATTTTCACATTTTTCAATAGTTTTCACAAAATTGGAAAAGTGATAAACAGTAGGGTTTGTCGGTTTTCAAAAACCGGTTTTTTGGCGAAAATTATGGAATTCGAAAACCGGCTTTTTAGTGAAAAAGTCTGTTTTCACTGTATAAATGGAAAATGACAAATATAGCCAAATATAAAAGATAGATGAAAGCATTTTTATTCTTGAAATCAGATCATTTCTATAGCATTTGATATCTTATCAGTCTGCAATGGTTTCCAGAAATGTTTTATATATATATATATATATATATATATATATATATATATTAATTTAGATTTTTATACCAGTCCATATATTAATTTAAATCAGTGTGACTTCTTCTTGAAGAAGTAACTTTCTGTACGCAAACTTAAAAAAAAAAGTGTTTTAAACTCTAGAAGCCACAGACCTAAAGAACAAAAAACTTAGAATTATTATATCAGGCTTTAAAAACAATTAAGCATAATTCGGTCGCTAGTATGAGAGTATTTTCTATTTCAGGAAATTTTGTGAGTAAACAAAGGACATGTCTAAGTAGCAATTCAATATACGTTCTCAGTTTTTTTAAATCATATTTTAATAAACAAAAAATTATTAGAATGTTTAAAATTAATTAATTAAAATTGCTCGGAACAGAAATAAAAATTTAGCTTAATTGTTTTTTAAACTAAAATTGATATTAATAAGTATGTCTTAACATGTATCTAATATTTCTTTATTTTTTTTATTTAAAAATGTATTATTTCTATTTATTTGAATACTTTCCTTTCACTATAAATATTTTCATTCTTATATGTGAAAATGATGCATGTATAACAAATAATTATTTTCACAGTTATTTAATCAAGATAAACTATTATTTTTTAGTTCTACTAATTAAAATTAAAATCATTTTGTTTACTATCTATAAAATTGAACAATAAATAAATTCAGTCAAATACTATTCTAAATCGCCCTAAATTTGCGGATAAATTACAGAATATTCGAGCAAAAATTTATTTTCTATACAAAATTCGAAAATCGGTTTTTTAGTAAAATGAAAATTCGAAAACCGGTTTTCTGAAATGTCGGTTTTTGTATAAACGCTAATAAACAGTCTAAACGCACTTGAGTAAATATTTGTACCAGAGTGGCGCTTAGACTGTGCTTAGTCTGGGTGATTTTTTAAATTTTTAATCCAAAATTACAAAAATATTCTATGGAAAATAAAAAAAGATGTAATAATTTTTTATCCTCAAAAGCAATTGTTTTGTCAATACAAGCAGAAAGTTTATTATCGATATGTTTCATATTTATTAGTATTACGGGAAGTTAATAATATTACAATTAATCAATCAATTTCAATTATTACCTTGAATGTGAGTTTGTGCAAAGCCTTAGCACACAATTCCCTTATAGCGCTGTCCCAATGATCGACTTTTAATTCGACTAAATGGGAAACTAAGGGCACAGCATATTCTCCATATTGGGCAATGTGGACACTAATTTCTAAATAGGCAGTAGTCCGGACACCGACTGAATAAAAATCGGCTGCAGTCAAAATGTCTATACCGTGGGGAAACGTACCTAATCTGTAATAGATAGTAAAAGACTAGTAAATTATATAAATAGCTGATTAAGAAGTCACAAATTGCAAAAAATATCAATTATTGATACGAAGTTATCATTTAGTTTACGCTTTTGTTGGAAAGTTAGTGTATATTAGGGAATGCAATACTGGTATACCGGTATACCGAATTACCGGTAAACCGCCCGATTTTTCGGCGGTAATTTTACCGGTAATTACCCCAAAAATACCCGTATTTTCGGTATTTTTACATAAGCGCTATTTGATACATAATACACTAAAGTTTAAATTTCTCGGAACAAATTTATCTTTAAAATCCATAATCGCATAAACAGCTATATCTTCAAGTGATTCTATAGGATAAACAAATGTCAAATATTATCTCAGCTCGTCATTAAACTGAATATTTATTGCTTTCCAAAGGGCTTCATATCGTGTTACAATAAATAGAATTGGACTGATAGATAATGATGTTTGTTTCATCTTTTGTAAAAATGTAACGGTTTTTTAAGTGATATTTGCGCCAAAATATTTTATATCACACAGATTACCTTTGCGTAATCTTTATTTTTTTCTAACTTTATACATAATAATTATCATAATTACTAAATATTTTTGCTTCTTATTGCAATTATAAAATATTATTTTTCGAAAACGTTTCGAAGTTTGAAAATACTATAGAAGCATCACATTGCTTTAAATAACAATACTCAACAGTTATAGTAACTTAATATTTATCTTGACAAAGTATCCGATCTTAAATTAGCGTAGAAAATTATTTTTTTAAAATATTGGAGATTATGCTAATTTAACACATCGTATACAGATAATACAGTTTATTATAATAATGTAATATAATTTTTTATTAATTTTTGGTCTTTCTTACTCATAAGTTTGTTTTTGGTGAAAAGTACTCAATATACTCGATAGTGATAATGAATTAATTAAATTGGATATAATTTTGTTAGTTTATTATTTAAAAAAAATAACTTATTGTTCTATTTCATTGTTTTTATTGTTTAGTTGAATATAGTTGTAGTGGTATATACATTTTTTTATATTTGTACTAGTAACTTTCAATTTTGTTTACGTTTGTTTAAGATAATAAAAATACCGGTAATTTACCGGTATTCCGGTTTTAAAATGAAAAATTACCGAAATACCGGTATTGACATTTTTCATCGACATTGCATTCCCTAGTGTATATAGATTGTGATGATAATAGTAAATGAAAATGAAACCATATTTAGTATAGTACTTAAAATATGACATGATCGTTTTAAAGTAATTTCTGATTAATAAATTCTATAATATTCATTCACACAGTGGATTATGTTAAACAACGCCTAAACAAATATTGTTTTTGCAAATTAACTCATCCTGTAACAATTGTGTTTAAAGAACTTCATGTAATTAAAATTAACATACATTCATTTACTATTTGTATTTTTTTACTTTTTCGCTGACGATATAATCTCATTCCTTGAACAGCTGTAATATCCGTCTTGCCTAACAAATTGAAGCCATACTTTTATATTTGTTTTATTTATCAAGCCCTGCACATAGCTTGATCTATGAATCATTTGCTTTTTTATGTGAACGTTAATGAAATGATCACCATCAATATTACGAGGTAATAAATTAACCATATTATTAATGTCAACAGGCACATTTATAATTTGGCCAAACATTCCAAATTGTCCATTTGCATAGATGAAATTAACCTTTCAGATACAGTATCTAGTTTAGGTAGATAATTTGGTATAGGTGGAAATACAAACCCGTTAAATTTACACAAAGTGGGAATTTTACCCGAATTTTACTCAAATTTAATATCTTTCGACAAGTTTGACATCCGACCTGATTATTTGAATCAATATTCAAAAAACATTATTAAGAATTTGTTTTTGAGCATCATTTGATATTTCTAAGTCACTTTGAAGCCAAAGTCGATCACACACAAAACATGCATAGCCAAAGCTATCATTTCTTACGCAGCGCAGATTTTTCCTTAGTTTCATTATTTATTTGCGATCATTTGCACTACAATTATTTATGGGGAACAGGATAAAATACTCTTCCGATCCTGACATTTTTATTAACTCACGAATTATACTGCTAACCCATGTCGCGCCTAAAGAAGTTTTACTTCAAAAAATGTTTAGAGACTACGAGCTAAATACAAAACTCAAGTGAAAGTCGACACATTTTGTTTTGTTTTTGACATATGATTTGACATTTGATGTATTTTTTGTTTTGCTCGCAGACTAGATCGAATAATTGCGATAGCTGCGCTTACTAGCGTCGTAAGCGCGAATCATGCAAGCGATTACTTTACACCCATGTCGCGCCTAAAGAAGTTTTACTTCAATAAATCTAATAAGTTTCTGTTTCCCTTACCTCCCTACGTTTTCCTGAAAAGCAGCACTCGCAGCCCTCCTAACATTGATTTCCCGATCAAAAGCAGCAGTGCAGACCAAAGCAGCAGCAACACTATTAACAAAAGGTGCCAATTCAGCACTTTCATAAGCCCTTGCAAATGCCCAAGCCACATAACAAGCTGCATCTCTTATATGAGCCCCAACGCTGACAAAACCTTGGACAACGTCGTACCTGGAACAAAAACAATAAATCAGACTTGGTCTGTAGTAAAATTTTGGTGTAAAGTTACCTCAGGGCTTGTAGCATCAAAGGTACGATTTCTGGTAGACGTGCTGGTAGTAAAAGTCCCTTTTTGGCCAATTCAGCAAGTGCTAAGCAGCCCCCGTGCCAAGCATGGTGGGTTTCTCGTACTGAAAAGACTTCTAGAACTGAAGATAGGACTTCGTCTGCTAATTCACGAGGTAGTCTGTTGGTTACACGACCTACACCTGAAATAATAGAAAATAACTATATGGCATTGTGCCTTAAGGCAAATTGCTGGAACTTCCCGTACCGTAATGAAATATTAGAGAAATTTTAAACGTTTTCAAATATATTATTACAAATACTGTGTAACTTTCATTATTTTTGCTATCTTGTTTGTTATATCCGAGAAAATCAAATGTAAATCATAAATAAATCAATTTATCTCCAAAACATTAACAATCGTCATTTCATTTCGAATTCAATTTAAAAAAAAAAAAAAAATAGTTGCCTTAATTTGCACAAAATTGAAAAAGTGCTCCCGTATAGTCACAGTCTAAACGCATTTGCAAATAATTCTGTGCGACATTTTCACTTATACTGTGCTTAGCTTGGCGGCATTTTTACATTTTTCAATAGTTTTCACAAAATTGGAAAAGTGCTCCAGTACATAAACAGTCTATACGCACTTGGGTAAACATTTGTACCAGAGTGGCGCTTAGACTGTGCTTAGCATGGGTAATTTTTTGAATTTTTAATCCAAAATTACAAATCTTTAGATTGCTCGTCAGTAGAGTCCCTTTTTATCTAATATTTTCATTTGATCGTCAGTAGAGTTTCCTTTTCCTAATATTTTCATTTGCTCGTCAGTAGAGTCCCTTTTTCTTACAAATTTTCATTTGCTCGTCAGTAGAGTCCCCTTTTCTTACAAATTTTCATTTGATCGTCAGTAGAGTCCCTTTTTCTTACAAATTTTCATTTGCTCGTCAGTAGAGTCCTTTTTTCCTAATATATTCATTTGCTCGTCAGTAGAGTCCCTTTTTCTTACAAATTTTCATTATGCTTGTCAGTAGAGTCCCTTTTTCCTAATATTTTCATTTGCTCGTCAGTAGAGTCTTTTTTTCTTACAAATTTCTATTATGCTTGTCAGTAGAGTCCCTTTTTCCCAATATTTTTATTTGCTTGTCAGTAGAGTCCCTTTTTCTTACAAATTTTCATTTGCTTGTCAGTAGTGTTCCCTTTTTTTACAAATTTTCATTTGCTCGTCAGTAGAGTCCCTTTTATCTCTTTGTATTTTCAGTTTGCTCGTCAGTAGAGTCCCTTTTTTTTTCTTACAAAACGTTTTAAGCAAAATTTTGCTTATCGGTAGAGTCCTTTTTCCTAATATTTTTATTTGTTTGTCAGTAGAGTTCTACTCCCAATCATTACAAATTGATGATTGCCAACAACTAATCAGCACATCTCCCTATCAATAGGGATCAAATGTTTTTTAAACCATTCAAATCGGTTGATCAGTGCGCCCGAAAACGTGGACGAAAAAATGCGGACATAAAAAAAAACACACACACATCCATTTTTTCTGAGGTATGCCAAAATGTTCAGAAACCTCTGAAACGTAAAGATATATAAAAATTTTCATTTTCGATTTTTTTGCGATTACTATAACTGCCCTACGGGAAGTTAAAAAACGTGTTATTTGGAGAAAATAATGATAAAATTGAATTAAGTTGAGAAATTACAACTTATTAGTAAAATATGTGTATCAAATTTACCTTTTGCAGCAGACCATCGGGCTACACCATCACAATTTCTTAATCCTAACAGTAATTCTTCTAAAACATCTTCAATTTGTTCAGGCACCTAAAATATAAAAAGAAAATATAAGATTAACCTTTACATTTACATTATTTACAATTCAAATTATCTACTACTAGATGACCCATGTCTACATTTTTTTAATATAATATATGTACTAATATTTATCGTTTACCTAAAAATAATAATTATTGTTTTTCAAATTACTCTTCACGCCAAAATGCATATACATTTATAATATGAGCGATGTTAAATGTAGAACTGCTTTAAATAAAATGATGAGTCTCAATTCCCACACTATAAGTGAAGTTTTATAAATATAAATTGAAGTCTTTTAAACGGTATTACATAACCATAACCATAACATAACACTAACACTTCATGTTGGACTAAATTAATTTAATTTTTTATTATTTAAGATATCCAAAATTGCATCTTAAACTTCTCCTAATCAATATCGTGAGGGCTGAAATGTTTGCATTCATCTTTACTTTCACATTTGTTGTTATAAAGTGAAGTTTTGATGAATGAAAATATTGTGAAAAGATTAGTAAAAGATGCAAAGAAATTATATATTAAAAAAAAACTATATTGAAAATTTAATATCCGAATCTTGTGTTGGCGCCCCCTAAGGCGTGCGCTCGTATTTTTCGCATGCAACGCATTAAAGGTAGCACTGGCCCTGATTAATACTTAATTTCATATTTTAAGTGAATTAATTTATCATATCCTGTTCATATGTGCATCATTCTATCTGAAATACATATACTGTATTTTATATTATTTTAATTTCTGGCACATCTCAGACGCTTTTTGGCAATAATAATGTAGACATTGCATTTTTCTTATTCATAATCATAAATTTATTATACATATTCTAATATTGTCTAGGTTCATAAGTAAATTGAAATTTTTGGCAAATGATAGTTTTCATTTACTTTCAATGCAAACAATGACATGTCGATTTTTGCAATTTTTTCCATTTATTTCTACAATATTGCACATACATGCCAGTACTTTATAATAACATACATCCTAGAAAATTTCCTTAACAAACTTCAGAAAAATTTATCAAAATCCGCATAATCGTTTAGATGGAGTATACAGTGAGTGCTTGTAATTTAATATGAACTTTATATAATAGCAATAAAGCTCAAATTGATTCTACGTTTCAGTTAGAAAACGTTTGTATGAGAAAAAGAAAAGGCTGTTTTTAGGGTTTTTCCGGCAATTATTCAATTTTTTCTTGCCCATTATTGGACTTCAACAAACATTTTAAAAAAAGAATTGGCCTAATTGGTCCAGGTGTTGTTGTTAATGCGCTTACCAACACATTTTGAGATTCATTTACAAATATGGCTTTTAAAATATAATTTGTGGCGAGTATACATTTCCTTACATGAATATCTTCACTGGTTTCTGTAGTAGCAACTGTCTGGACAAGCGGTAATGATTTTACCGGTTGATCCCCAGCACACAAATTCGCAGACAACGATCTGCTACCTCTCTGGTATCTCCACGCAGCAATTGTCGGCATTAATAAAGTTAAACCTGAAACAAAAACAGTATAAAACATCTTAAAGAACTCAAAACTAGAGTAGATTTTAACACTCACCTATTCTTTGTATTATTTTAATACTATATTTATGCACAAGCGCTCCATTAGTCTCCTTATACTGACTATTAATAATCCAATGCAAAAGTTTATTAGAATAAGGCAACAAGTCTTCACGTTTACCATGTTTTAAAATAGCAGCTACAGATGCTAAGATGCCATATTTAACATCAACAGTTAGGTTTTCGTTAACTTGGCAAGCCCAATCAAAAAACTGTGCCAAATATTTATCTTTAACGTCATTCCTTGTTAAAAACTTTGAAGACAAATAGGCTGCTGCTGCGCAGCATGAATCGCCGGCTAAGGAATACTGTTTGCAGATATTAAAAATCCTTTCCATGACTGTTAATTTATCACTGGTTATAGTACTATCGAGTCTGGACATGTGAAAAGGATTCATTGCTAGGATTGAAAGCCATAAAAGAAGCATGTAGCGGGTTTCCCAGTTAGTCAAGTCATCTAGTTTTTGTGCTTCAAGCATTTGCAATATAGTTTCCATATCTGTAATCTAAAAACAAACAATATGTACAAAATAATAATAATAATAATAATGGGTGTATTGCTCTAGGGCAGGTCCGTGAGCTGAGTTAAAACTCCAACTCAATTCAGGTATATATGTATATATATGTGTATATGTATATATATAAAATATCTATTTATTATCACATATATCTATTTATTACCTCGTGTGTTAGATATCGAACAGTGACTTTATGGTTCCTGACATTGCTTATAATATACATATATTTAAAAGCAGCATGCTTCAAATCGTCTTCTGCATTTTTATCCAAAACATATTGCATTAACAGGTTCAAAAGTTCTTCTATGTTCTTATCGAGCAAATGAGGTTGTTCTTGGTACAGTTTTAAAATGTCTTTAAATTTTTGGGCATTCAGTTCCAAATGATTCTTGTATGTTTGAGGTAAAGTTTGTATCATCTCCAAGACTTCTTTATACTCTGTAAACATCTCCAAAACGCAGGCGACATTTTCTGAAGAATCATCTTCTAAGTCAGGAACCATTTTTAAACAATTAAATTGTTCACTTAATTATAATCGAGTTTAATTATGTTTTATTAAACTTTATGCTTAACAGATTGTTGAGGTATTTATATTTTTATTTATTACACTTTGTTTATAAATAAAATTTAAATTTAATAAACATGTTGCACAAAGTTATTATAGGTTATGTTTGACAAATGTCACTTGTCAAAAATAATGTTGAAGTTCGTACTAAAATTTGGCGGGTAATTCAAATTTGAAAAATGATAATTGTAATTTAATAATAATTATATATAAATAGTTATTAATATTTGTTTTTTTATTTTTGCAATTATATATAATCTATAAGAATATAATAATCTAAGAAATAAATATTTAAAAATATATATAATGATAAAAGTAATTATTATATAATAAAATAAAATATACTGCAAGTGTTAATAAAACTGTAGATTTACAGATTTAGTCATGTAAATATTATATATTGTTTAATTTTCAACAAAGTTGTCAAATAATTCATTTATATTAGACAAGCTGTTTGAAAGTTATAAGAGATTGTTGGTAAAAATTATGTTTATTTTTTATTGCATTTTTAAAGTATACCGAGTTGCTGTAGAGCGTTATAATATAAAAGACTTATATAGATTATTAAATTTTGAACAAATTTCTTTAACATACCACTTACTTCAAACAAAAATTTTAAACGTTACAACAGATTTAAACAAAAAGTGCTCATTCTTATTATAATAGTACAGTGGGTTTTTGTCTATTTATTTTAAACTTTTAATATAACATAGAATATTGCTCCAAATGCAAGTACAACATCCAACATAAACCACTCTCATAGTCGGTGGTACTAGCAAGAAATTGATGGTGGTCATTGGTATCCAAAAACAGCAACTTGTAGCAAAAGTTGTAGCAAATTTTGTTCTGAACTCTTCCAAAATATCAGGTTTTCTTTCCAATATACTCATACCTGGTAAATAATGATAAATAATCAAATCAATAATTAATAATCAATTTATTAAACAAGATTCATGAGAATTTCAAATTTGAATTTGGATTCAAGTGTGAAGTTGGCTACGAGGATGAAGTTAGATGTGAAGTTCGTTACGCGTCGTTGATGGTAACACTTTTTAAATACTAACTGAAGTTTCAAGAACTGAAATTGTCATAAATATTTACTCGTATATTTAATTTATAAATTGTATAGACCTCAGTAAATGTTTAATTGTGTTGTTTATGATTATATTTAAATTGTATTTTGATTAAAAACAATGATATAAAGTGTTTAATTATGTCTTTAGTGTGTGCCTTCTGTCAGATTAAGGTAAGTGAAAATCTTTTTTATTTTCTAGTTAGACAGAATTAAAATGATTTTGAAAACAACAAATTTGAAAAAAGAGACTAATTAAATATCTGAAACGTTGTAAATATTATTATTCAGCTAAACTTCTTAAATAACCAGAACTATAAGTAGTTCCGAAAACATAACCGCAAATATTAGCCTATTTGACAAACATCCTTTTTTAATTAAATTTCTTTTGAATTTTATAAATAAATAATGATTTAATTATGATTGCTGGAGATTATTTTATTGATTTGTTATACAGTGAGCACATAAAATGTAAATCATTTATCAATTTCTTCTCGAATTTTCCATATATACATATACTGTATTTCTCAGAACCGCGAAAAATCGTATCAATTATTTAGCTTTTTTATTTTTGCTTCAATTATTATGCAAATTGACCAAAAATTATTATGAATGTCCAAAAAGTTATTTATCAATTTATAACTTATGTAATTTATATGTGGCATGCGTTGCACTGGGTAAACCATTGCTTATGGCAAAACAACGTTTGCCGGGTCAGCTAGTATATATATCTTGATAGTTTTTTCGACGTTGAAACATATTTCAAAGTAACTAGCAGCCCATTCGTCGAAATAAAAAAATGTAAAAAAGTATTTAAAATTTGATTTATACGTTTCGACATCAGATACGTGTCATTTATTTATTTATTATTAGTAAATTGTTTCAAATTTATTGTAGTTGCTGAATGATGACACGCATCTGGTGTCGAAACGTATAAATAAAAGGTTTAAATACTTTTTTACATTTTTTATTTTGACGAATGGGTTGCTAGTTACTTTGAAATATATATATATATATATATATATATATATATATATATATATATTAATAGATCATTATATATGCGTTATTATGCAACCATGTGCATTATTATTCAAAAGGTGAATATATATATATTAATTACAACGTACCTGAGTAAAATACAAATATTAAAATTGGCGTCATTCCAAATTGATCGATTATTAGTTTTCTGAAAACTGTTTTCTTTGCTGTTCCTGGAAGTTTTCCATCTAGCCATTTGTACCTAAAAAAATAATATATACTATACATTCAATAATGAAAAGAATTTAATGAAAAATAATGTCTTTATACGTTTCGAGTCTTGGTTTGACCCATCTTTAATAATTCAATCAAAGAATGAGAAGCACTAAATAATATATACACAATACTAAACTGAAGAAAATTTGATAGTTATAAAAAAGCATTTAATGATATGGTTTTCATGATCATACATCTTTATACGTTTCGAGTCTTTGTTTGATTCATCTTTAGTACAAATAATTCAAACAAAATGCCAAAAATGAAAAGCACTAAATAATAAAAAAATAATAATAAACTGAAGAAAATTCGATAATTATAAAAAAGCATTTTATGATACGGTTTTCATGACCATACCATTAGTATTCAAAAAGCCCAAATTAATTTAGAAGTATAATAATAATAATTCTTATTTTTTGTTTTTTGTTAGAAGTATATTTATGTATTCGAAGATGGGTCAAACCAAGAGTCGAAACGTATACTTTTCTAAAAAAAATCTTCTTCATTAAAGTCTTTTTATTATTGGATGGATGCCCAAAAACATTTGGAAGACTCAATTTCTTTTATCAAAATTGATTAAGTACACAACTTACACGTATAGGAATGGTTTAAGCAACTCGCCTTAAGGCAGAATGCAATTCACACCTAGTTTTGTCCACAAATAATAAAACTAGATTTCTTAAACTATTACTACATTTTTACTAAAACATTTTAAAGTAACGCTAACCATGCATAACCGAGCCTAAGAAAAAATGTATGAGAAAGCGTTGTGTTAGGTTCGCACAACATGGCAAGCATTTATAGAATTTAACATATTTTTCGAACACAAGTAGAAAAAAGTTTTATAATCTTGCCTTACTCAAATTATATAAATAATTGATTAAAAATTTATTTACCAATGGTAGAGCATTGGTGCCATACAACAGGTGCTGATAATTCCATATCGTCCAATTTGTGTCGTGTCGATTTCTTGTTTTTCTTCTGACTAAAAATATAAAATATTGAAAAATAATATATATATATATATATATATTTATTTATGGATATATATATATATATATATGCATTTTTTTTAATAGTCTTGAATTTGATGTTGATATAATATGTTTAATTTAAGTTAAAAAGTCGGGCGTTACATCAATAAAAATAGTATGAGAGTTTTTAGAAATTTATTTATTTAAAATCCATACGTTTTGGCTAGCATCTCAGCCTTCATTCAGTGGCAATCAATTTAATTATAAAAATTAAAACTAAATAAATAATATGTAAGAAATTTCATAGAAAGCCCAGTTGTCGATTTAAAAGAGGTTAATATAGAAGAAAAAATTCTTTTATTAAACGTATTATACGTTTCGACACTTTATGTGTGTCATCATTTAGTCAGGAAAGACACAAAAAATACATGATAATAAAAAACACTGAATTTGTTTAATAAAATAAACATTATTAATAAATAATTAAAATTAAAGCTAAAAAAATGATATAATGTTTTTTTTAAATATTTATAAAACACACTCGTACTACTAATTTTATATTATTTTGTTATCCATTTAAATTGCACAGTGCATCCTGCAGAGCTCGTTGAAATAGTCACTTTATATAAAAAAAAAATCATAAGAATGAATTATATATTTAATTTTTTTAAATATTTTATGTACCTACCAGAAATTTTTTATTCAAAATTTGTTGACTCGTTTCAGCAGTTACATATAAGGTTCCGTACACAACACTGTTTGCAAAAAATGGATATTTTTTAAAGGAAATTTTTGCAAAATTTGAGACTGCACGAAACATATTTAATAAAAAATAATTCTAATTAAATTTATATAAATAATTTAAAACTTTAAGTAATTATAAATGAAAAATTATGGTAAATATTGATATTATAAATTATCATAACAGGGTAACTTATATAGAGTTTAATATTTCGTTTATATATTTATCAAAGACTTTTATTTTAAGTCATTTGCAAATTTGCATTATTTATTTGGTGCAAATATTAACAATAATATTTAGGCACTATTCATTAATAATTTTATATTATTAGTTTCAGTATTTGAGTTTCAAGTATTAGCACAGTTTTTGCACTTTTTACACACGAATTTTTAATTTTCTTTAGTGTATCAACTCAAATGTTTATAAACAAATTATTATTAATTATCTATATATATTTATATATATTTATATTATTATTTTAATACATTCTCTACAAGATAGAGAGAATGTTGTCCACTGAATGCAAAACTTGTTTCTCTATAGAAACCAATTGCTCGAATAAATTTCGGTTACGTCATATGCCACCATGTGTTTAAATGATTTAAATTAATATTATATTAGACGAAATTATTTAAATGAGTCCTATAAATCAATAGAAATATAGTAATAATGTTTTATATAAAATGCTATTGAATTTAACTTAATATCTTGATAATGAAAAAAGGGTTCGATTTGATGGAAGAGGAATTAGAAAGTTTTGTAGGGACATATTGCATATTATTTTAATTTTTGGCACATCTCAGTTGCTTTTCGGCAATAATAATGTAGACATTACATTTTTCTTATTTATAATCATAAATATATTATATTTCAATATTGTCTTAGCCTATAAGTGAATGGAAATGTTTGGAAAATGACAGTATTCTTCTGTTTTTAATGTAAAACAATGCCCCAAATATTTTCAATGTCAATGAATGATAAGCGTTTTTTTTTGTAATTTTTTCTATTTATTTCTACAATCTAACTATATTTCTGTAATTCAAAAAATCCTAAAAAAATCCCTTAACAAACTTCAGGAAGATTTATGAAAATCTGAATAATCGTTTAGGAGAATTAACCATTCATACCTCATTACAGAAGAATTATATATATATATATATATATATATAAGATATATAAATAATATATAATTTATATTAAAAATCTCTAAATATCTATAAAGCTGTTTCTTTTATTATATTATGAAAATCAACACAACATCACATGTATTATATAACACGTTTGCATTTAAAGATATGCACATTTAATAAATTAATTAATTTAATAACAAATTATATAACAATTAATAATTATAACAATGATTTTTAAGTAGTATAAAATTATGTGCGCTTGTTTGTTTATTATTAATACAGAAAATAATAATATTTTATCTATTGCTAGGCTAACTAATTTTTTATAATTTAATATAAAAGCTCGTTTTGGTAATATTAAATTTGTAAAATAATTGAAATATAAAATTGTTGTATTTATATATATAACTCACAGAATTTCAAAAAACAAACAAACAGATTTTGTGTCAATTTTTTTGCAATTTTTCGAGAAGTTAATAGAATTTTTTTAACCAAATAAAAGTTACTGTAGCAATTATTGTTACAGGTTAAAAAATTCAATTATTTATGTTATATTGAACATAATTTAAAAAAATCATTATTCTTGGCTAATTGTAAAAAACATTGATAATAGTACAACAATAAATTAGTAATTTTTCAAACTTCAAAAGGGGGAGGTTTTCCTAAATTGGAGGAAGAAAAGAACAAAAAAGGCCGCGAACAGGGACTAGAAAGAGATAAGAGAGAAAGAGACAGAGAAAGAGAAAGAGAGAAAGATGAAGAGAAAGAGAAAGAGAAAGAGAAAGAGAAGAGAAAGAGAAGAGAAAATAGAAAGAGAAAGATAAAGAGAAAGACAAAAGACAAAGAAAAAGAGAAAGAGAAAGAGAAAGAGAAAGAGAAAGAGAGAAAGAGAAAGAAAAGAGAAAGAGAAAGAGAAAGATAAATAGAAAGAGAAATATAAAGATAAGATAAAATATAAATATAAAGAGAAAGAGAAAGATGAAATATAAATATAAATATAAATATAAATATAAATATGAATATGAATATAAATATAAATATAAATATAAATATAAATATAAATATAGATAGAAGTTTTAAAGTTTTCTTACAAATAATATAAATTAACAAAAAAATGCTAAAATTTATTTTATATTCAATAAAATTTTAAAAAAAAATAATTTGTCTTGGATAATTGTAAAAAACAGTAAAATAGTACAATAAATTAGTAATTTTTTGATATTTTTTCAAAATTTTGAGTTTTGCCTAATTTTTAGGAATGTTATAAGTAAGAAAATAAGACAAAAAATTCCGCAAAAATTTACTTACAAAATAATTTATTTATTTCAATTTAATTGCAAAATTGAATTCCCATTAATTAATATTTTAATTTTGTTCCATAAAAATTTTCAATTAAACTTTTTAAAAAATTTATATAATAAATCTATGAAGTTCTAAAAAATTCAAAAATTCCTATAAAATAACGTTATGTATTAGTTAACAAATTATAATTCTAAATTCAAAAAAAATGACTGTAGCAATTATTATTAGAGTTAAAAAATGCAATTATTTATGTTATATTCAAGAAATTTAAAAAAAAATATTTGTCTTGGCTAATTGTAAAAAACAATAATAATAGTATAACAATAAATTAGTAAATTTTTAGCGTTTTTTCTAAACTTCAAAATTTTGAGTTTTGCCTAATTTTAAGACAAAAAATTCCGCAAAAATTTACTTACAAAACAATTTATTTATTTCAATTTAATTGCAAAATTTAATTCTCATTAATTAAAATTTTAATTTTGTTCCATAAAGACTTTCAATTAGAATTAAAAAAAAAAAAAAATATGAAAATTCCAATAAAATAACGTTATCAAATTATAATTCTACAAACTTAAGTGTTTCAATTTAATTAAAAATTAATTATCTTAAAAAAAATCTACTTATAAATTTATTTAACTGATATTTTATTTTAGTTTTAATTAAAATCTTTAGAAAATTCCTTACTTGCTAATAATTAAATTCTTTTTTATTTCTTCATAAATATACAAAATATCACCTTGTATAATAGAACATATCTATTAAATGCATGAATAATACTATTTATATTGTATTAATTTATATATATATATATATATATATAAATTAATAATTTATAACTATAACTCTAACATATATATATTTATAAAAACGGTTACAATGACAGCAAGCTGTTAAAGTAAATTTTACGTCCCATTGCAAATCTATATATGCTTAAATATTTATTTAATATAATATATATTAGTTTTATTTTCTGTTAAAATCATTCTTAAACTACTAATTGATATTGGGGAAAATAATATTGTTGCATCAGGGGACAGAGATATCATAGATAATTGACATATTGAACCTAGAAAGTAATTGACATAATAGAAAAAATATTGTGTGACTTGTTGTTGATTTTAAAATATACCGAGTTGGTGTAGAGTGTTATGTTGTTAGACAATGTTGTAGATTATTTAATTTTCAACAAATTTGTCTCAAGCATCATTGATATCAATCGAATAGTTCAAAAGTTACAAGAGAAATAATAAATAATTGAGTCAACAATATTATTTTCCCAATAGTCTTTTACCCTCCACCGCCATCACTATTATTTCATCCTTTACAATTTCCAAATAAAAATAAATTATAAACAACAGAACCGCTAACAGGAACAATTGTTCCCCGTCGAATTGGAGCCCTGGCTCATGGGCCCCATTCCCATACCCGAAATGTGGGCCCCCCGAAGGTTTACAGGGTTGGAGGAGGCGTCGTCGAAGGTGTCACCCTGGGGGAAAAATTAATAATAAATAAAAAATATTGCAAAAAAATCACAAATGCTTTAATTTTTTACATACAATTACTACATTTAAATATTATTTTTATTTAGAACATTCTATCAATTTTATTAACCATTTGGCATTTGACGTATAAGCCGCCGGCTATTGTTTAATATTAAATTACGCTTCGACAAAAAAATTTAAATTAACTAGTGGTGTATGGCATCGTGCCTTAAGGCAAATTGCTGGAACTTCCCGTACCGTAATGAAATTGACGACAAATTTTAAACGTTTTCAAATATATTATTACAAATACTGTAACTTTCATTATTTTTGCTATCTTGTTAAATGTAAATCATAAATCAATTTATCTCCAGAACAATTTCATTTCGAATTCAATTTCAAAAAAATAGTTTCCTAATTTACACAAAATTGAAAAAGTGCTCCCGTATAGTCACAGTCTAAAATTCGCATTCTCAAATAATTCTGTTCGACATTTTCACTTATACTGTGCTTATTTTGGCGGCATTTTCACATTTTTCAATAGTTTTCACAAAATTGGAAAAGTTCTCCAGCACATAATAACAGTCTAAACGCATTTGGGTAAACATTTGTACCAGAGTGGCGCTTAGACTGTGCTTAGCCTGGGTAATTTTTTGAATTTTTTACAATCCAAAATTACAAAAATATTTTATGGAAATGGTTAATAAAAAAGGTGTAACAATTTTTTTATCCATTTTTTCTGAGGTATGCCAAAATGTTCAGAAACCAGAAAACCCCTCAAAAATGTTATTTATCATTTGACATTTGACGTATGAGCGCCGTTGGCTATTGTTTAATTTTATATTACGCTTCGACAAAAAATTTAAATTAAAAATGTGAAGTTTCTATGCGCTTTTGAAATAATTTCTCACCTCCCACAATCTCTGGGTTAGAACAAATATTTTAAGACTAAAACTGGCCAAATCGGTTCAGCGGTTTTTGAAATTTAGCAAATCACACATTTTGACGAGTTCTTTAATTTATATATATATATATATATATGATATTCAGTTTTCAGGGCAATACATCAATTAAAAAAAATTGTATGACTTTAAAACAATTTTATTTTTTCCATACGTTTCGACACATTGTTTTGTGTCATCTTCAGTGGACTCTAGATTGAAAGAACAGATAGAAATTATTAAATAAAACTAAAATATAAGAAGTGATATGGTATGAACTTACATGTAATTGAATTAATCCTAATTATTGCATATTATAAATGTTCACAATGCACAATCCTAATTATATCATATTATAAATGTTCACAATGCAACAACAAACAATCCTTGTCATTTTAAATTGAACAATATATAAATTTTTGAATGAGATTTTTTATGAATTTGTAAAGTAAAATCACGCCGTACATTTCTGTGCTCCGATGTAAGGCCGACGACTGAATGTACGTCAATGTGCGAACCACGTGTTGAGGGTTAGGTACAAAGCAAACGAACTGACCAAAGAATTTAAGATTTGACAACGCGAGAGGGAACATATAGTGAAATATAAAAACATGACAATTGTGAGGGTGGACAATTTGTAAAATTGAGATAAAAATTAAAAGAAAAGAAAAAAATAAAATAAATAAATAAAATAAATAAATAAAAAGAAAAATTGGCATTAAAAATAAATATAAATAAACGTCGATCATGATAGGTAACTATTTTAAAGGTATGAATTTCGAGACATTGTTTAAGACTACTTGGTAATTTTCACACAGTGAGGAAATATCCAATCTTTTGTTTAAACTATTTTTGTAAAGATGTATCAGACAAGATTCTGAAAAGCGTCTCTGAGACGTATTCGATTCGTGATATAAAATTGTGGCCACATCAAAATTGAAAATATGATTGAAACTTTGTATGTGGTCGGTTATCATAGTTTGGTTTTGATTTTTATTTTTGGAATTGTTATAATGTTGTCTAAGACGTTTTTTTAGATGTTGTCCAGTTTCGCCAATATAAGTGGCCTCACAATTTGTACAGTCAATTTTATACACGATGTTAGAAATACGATCTAAACTTGTCGGTGATTTTAAGTTCGAAAATAAAAAGTTAAGGGTCTGATCAATATTGCAAACTAAACGCAATTCCGCGAAATCAAATAGTTTTTTCCAAATAGGAAAGAGATTTTTAATGTAAGGGAGACAAATAGTGCCAATAAACTTATTTTCTTCTTTT